CAATAATTGTTGCAGTACTCAACACCCATTTGTACACGTAAAAACCTACTTACTTAAATGAAATATCAAAACAATTTGCTTTTCCAATTAAACTTAACATTAACTACAAATATAATTCCTTCGCCAAAGCCCAACCTAAATTTTGAACTGGTTGATTGTAACATTACAGTTACCAGAAATATTGATTGGCCCGCCAGAAGTAAAGTCAAACTGAGCTTCGTGCTCATTACCAGTAATATCATTGAATATAGATTCTAATTCATTAACATCAAATACAGGCATTTCTATATCATCATTGCTAATATCAATTACCTTAATTTCATTCTTTGACTCAAATGAAACCTGTTTTTGTTGAGCTGGCGGGTTCAAAATGTTGGAAATCTTGTGCTCTTGCTCCTTACTACTCTTTTCATATGCCAAAAGGGCATCACTAACGTGACCACTTCTGCTTCTTATAAGCTTTTCGTCAACACTTGCATTAAACAGTTTACTTACACATGTAACACGAAGACTATGGCTAGTTTTCCTCTTGCTGCCAATTGCCAAACACAAACTAGGAAGAATTTCATTGAGAGTATGAATTCCTACGACACAGTTCTTGTACGCAAATTTACCGTCCTTATATGGCTGAAAATAAAAAGCTTGTGCTTTTACACGAAGACACTTTACGAGGTCAAAATACCGTTTATAAATCTTAACTAAGCAACGATCGTGGTTCTCATTGCCGTTTTCGTGGCAAACATATTTAATCACTCTCGCTTTCTTTTAATTCAAATCCGCTATGCCACCATGAAATGTTTTGGAAGAATTTTCACGATAAATTATGTGTTCATCGCCTTCTATTTCGATATCGCTAATTCTTAATTGCCTATGTTCTTGAGAACGTATGCCAAAAAGTTTACCATTATAAAAGTATACTGTCTTAAGCAATATCTCAGCTGTTGACTGTCCTAGTACTCCTTTCCTCCACATCGCCTCTTCTTCTTCGTCTGTTATCAACTCCTTTTCTTTCTTTCTATTGGTAACTCCTTTGGAATGGACGCTTTTCATCTCAGCATCCAGAATTTTTCTAAGTCCAGAAAAACTGAAAGAAAACGTTAAGTTAAAATAATATTAAAAAGGTTTATTCATGTGGAAAAATAAAAAGAAATAATATTTCACCCACCTCATGTTAGACTTGTCAAGCATATTAACGTCGGTCCGGTTTTTTGACTCTAGGTGGCGTTTTAGGCTAGCGATAAGCTGATAAAGCGTACGAGCAGGATATGGCGAACCTTTCTTGTCTGATGCTTCTTGAACAAATTTCCAAAGCCAGAAGTTTAGGGATGAAACTGTCACTGTTTCCCATGGCTCGATATCCAAATGTTGAATGCTATCTAGCGAGAGATTTAAGGACGTAGACTCCAAACTTGCCACTTTGTTCTCTCTTATTTGCCTCCATTCTTCAAAAATATTCACAGCCCAGCTATTCTTGTAACGGGTTGAAATTGGCACAGCTTTTTGCAACAGTAGTTTCATACTCCTTCATTGCATTCATACGCATGAAAAATATTTTCCTTCTCACTCGCAATGGTAACACAATAAACTGACAAACATTTTACAATGTGCGTAGCTTGTCATTGCTGAACAAGTCCCAAGTTTATTAACAAACAAATACAATAAATGAACTTATAGTCCGGTTTCCATGGAAGCTTTAATCCTCTGAACTAAATGTTCTTTAATGTACATATCTTTGGCTGAGTCAGAACGCCAACGACCCTGGAGTTTGAGCAGTCTTTCTAATGACGGGCAGTTTTCGAGATTTCTGGCTATTGTTGTCGCACCCCCAGAACGAAAACTATGCAGACCGTAGATCTTTGGATCATAACCAAGAAACTTTAGAGCATCCTTGAAGGAATCTCGATATGATGTGTAGGACATCTTCCTTTTTCCAAGTACATGGC